TCAGGATAACCTGAGCCACTCTAACTAGAAGCTTTATCAAAAAGGAAAGTTTTAAGCCTAGCCTTAAAAGTAGGCGGGGTTTTTTACAGATAGCGAATGTTTGTGAATTTCTGACGTTTCTTTTTCTGGTCTTTCTAACTTTAGGGAGTTGGATCCCGGATACGTGGAGGAGTTTACATCACCTGACTCCGTGGCTGCTCTCCTTCTCCCTTCACCTCCTCCTGCTCTCTGTTTCCAGTCCCCATCACTGTCGCCTCCGCCACAACGGGAAACCCAGTCGTCCAATCAGAACCGGCGATGTTCAGCAGTCCAGCTACGCATCAGAAACCGGTGAGCCATTTCTCTGTTTGTTGGTCAGCAGGGTTTCCTCTTCCACTTTGGATGCGTTCTGGCTTCATTATTCCTGCATCCGGAGGAGTGATGCTGTGGGAACGCTGCTGACTGGGATTTCCTGACTGGTATTCTTCCTTCCAGTAATGATAAACTGTGTCTCTCACTGTCTGAAGCCCAGAAGGTGAAACAGGAAGTTCACCCCTCGCCTACCGGGCTCTTCCACCTACGTTGTCCGGATTTCCTGCCTGCTTCCGTTTCTCAGCGGGATTCAGTGTCTGTTTCCTGTTAGAATCCCTGTTTGTTCCTGAGCTGAAGAGCATAGAAACGAAACGCTGTCTCCTTAGTTTCTGGAACGCTGACTGTTGAGCGCCTCACGGACCAACAGCCTGAAGAAATGAAAGGATGCTGTTAGGGAGTAGCGCCCTAAAGTTTGACCTTTTTTCACCCTTAAATGTTTTTGATGACCAAACAAATTGATGTTTTGACCAAAGATCAGTGGAGTAAATGAATAATGGCTGTTCTGAAATGATGATGTCGTTTATGAATGGTTTGTTTGATTATTGGAGTGCTCTGCAGCCACTGGTGTATGAACAAAACAAGAAAACGCTGAAGTTTTTATCACATATTCATTGTTTTGGTAGAAGCAGGATGTGATCTTATAGAAAATGAGAAAAAAAATCAACTTGCTTTTAGATAAAATGGAAAATCTAAAGTCATTTTTGGGCTCAACACATTTCTTTTAACAGACATGAACGTCTCTGTCTTCTTATATGAGATTTAGGGATTAAAAAACCAACAGTAACACTTGTCTGCCTGCTTTTTAAGGCTATTTTTAGGGTAGAACTACCCTCACTAATGCTTGGCTAACAGGGTGGTTGGTATCAACTTTTCGGCGGAAATGTGGCGGGTCCATCAACCAACCATTAAACATCCTTCTACAAATTCAAATAAA